TGACGGGGATTCGAACCCGCGACCCTCAGATTGCGAGTCGAGCACCTTAACCACCTGGCCATGCCGGGCCTCCAAATAAGATTAACTTTGTTTTTATTTTGCTGCACGGATAATAACGACCTAAATTTAAAAGGATTCAAAGATAAAATTGAAGGAGATACGATTGATGCAAAACTTTAATAATTTCTGAACAAGCAGTGCAGCCGCGAGTTTCACAAAAAAAGTGAAATGTGAGGAAAAGTCTAAGCAGGAAGAATATTACAAAAGGTAAGCGATATTTTTTTTTATCATGCTTAATTAGCCCCTAATAAATGTTGTTTGAGACTCGTAACGTCGGTCAATTCATATGTAGATTTATACACGGACTTTTTTCTACGTTAAAATTCTTTTATTTGCGTACTTTCGGCCCTACCGAAACCTTCATTGGGCAACAATGTACACAGCGATAAAAATTGGTTAACTGTGAAACTCAGTTTTAAAATAGGTATCTAGGCAACAATCGTAACAATAACTGACATCTAGTATTAAAGTTAGTGAATACATAGAATTATGATGAATCTATATAAATATAATAGTAATGTCTGTTGTATGTTCATTTAACTACTTCGTAGGGTATGGATGGATCTTCACCAAATTTAGTATGGAGGTTCATTAGGTCCATGCAGGGGGTACATACAAATTGTATAGTTTTGCATTTTGCAGTTTTAATGGTCGTTTTGGCGTTTTTTTACCACTACTTCGCCCCCTGTAGATAGATCTTTACCAAATTTGGTATGGAGGTTCATTGGGTCCGTGCGGAACTTGCGGTTTCACCTTTTGTGTTTTGCAGTTTTTATGGGAGTTTTTTTACAATTACATATAAAGGAAGCAACTTTTCACGTCCTAAAATAACTTTTCATTAATCACGAATTTACATAACTACCATCCAGGGGACGGGTACTCCAGCTAGTAATAGAATAAAGTTCGATTGCTTCGATATAATAAACATAATTAATATACAATTACAGGTATTATGTAGAGAAAAATAAAATAACTTTCATACTTCAAATAATACATAGATAATGTGTTTGTGTAAGTTTCTAAATATTGTCTTTGATTTTAAAATACAAAGTAAGTTAAGTAGCTTGGCTAGCTGAGAGAGAGATTTATTAAACTAATTAAATAGAGAACTGAACAAGAGTTTAGGTTTTATTCTGTACAACGTTTTTTAAAAACCTGTTGTTACAAAACCGTTATTGTTTTTTTTTAAAAGAAACCACGCATCACAGTGTTAGAATTCATATTATCACTTCCAACAATAATGTAAAACAATAACAGTTTTGTAACAACAGGTTTAAAAAAAAACATGCATAAAAGTGTTAGAATTCATATTATCATTTCCAACAATAATGTAAAACAATAACAGTTTTGTAACAACAGGTTTAAAAAAAACAACGTATAAAAGTGTTAAAATTCATATTACATTGGCCTGCGGTGGTTTTATTGTCTTGATATTTTTACATAATCTACAGTAATTCCTGTACGCTGAATCCGAAAATGATATTCATTTTTCTCCATCACGTACAGATTTTTCACAAAATGTCACTACGCAATACACAACAAAAGGCCACGACACGTAGTTTTGATAGTAAAAGACGTAGATTTCACACACAAAAAAATATCAGGATGAATGAAGATGCATATTCGTTTGACATCAATGTTCTTCCCGTTTCTTCTGTTTGTTTTTATTTTTGTTAGTAAACATAATAATAAAAAAAATGTTCAATGTGGTAAACGAAATAATAATTTGATCTAAGTAAGTGTTTTTTCCCCGATTTGTAAAAAATCCTTACGTGACAGAAAAAAATTAATATTATTTTCGAAATCTGTGTATTGAAATTATGGAAAATCCGTTATTAAAACCAAAATAACTTTCATACAGTTTAAATTCGCAGGCCTGTACTATTAGCGGAAATGATTAAATTTAAACGTTTGTTCACACTAATTTCATATTCAAAGAATGCTTTAAAACATTATGTCTTTCTTTTCAGTATCAGTACCTTTATGCATTTGACAAGTATTGTTACATTATGATTCTTTCTGCTTAAAAAGAGCTAAACATTGGCCCTCTGTCCAGGTAATACCCGGGTAAGGACGGCAAGTATATAATAAAAAACAAAAACAATAGTTTTGAGTCTGAAAACGATTATCTACAATTTTAGTAATTGAAAATAAAATATCCTGGACCATAGAAATCTGAGAATAAATTAAAAACAGATTAAGTCATTTCCTTACTTTTCAGGTGGTGAGAGTGAGACTTTAAGTATATCACAGGTTCCTCTTTGTCCACTAGAGGGCGGTTGTTACTCGTTATCCCATAAACCACCACCATCACCACCAAAAGAAAACCCGTCGAAACTACCAAGGTAGACATGGACGGCAGAGTCACGTGACCGGGGATCTTAGTCAAGCATGTAGAGGAAAACCTGTAAGGAATTTACTCTCAAAACATGTATCATAGAAGTGGTAAATGTAACATCTGATAAGCTTATAATTATTATATATATTAATAATATAACCAAACTGCACAAAACTGACCAGTGGTGTGGGGAATTCATGTCTGGAGAAGCGAATTTCAATGTGTGGCGATACAGCGACGCGATACGGGTTTCAATGAACCTGAAACTGTGAGGTACCATTTGCACATGACGATATTGTTATGGAGAAACTAGTAAAGGTGTGGCGATACAGCGACACGATACGAGTGTATCGGTACATCGTCCGATACGAATACGACTTGTGTATCTTCACAAAATTTGGCAAACTTTCAGTAAACATTACAAGTCTTTTGTACAGAAAAAAAAATCAGAATTTCTAATAAAGTGTTTTTACTAAAAATTAATGATTCAGTAAAGGAAGATGAGTATTGAGTACTACATTCTGTCTTCGTATTTTTTATCAAAGACATTATATGTAAAGTAACATAACAAATTAACAATAACAAAATAGATAGACAGATATTAACTTTTTTATTTTACTTCTCTTGCCAGCTGCCATTTAGGTGATCAAACCTTAGAATTTGAAAAAGCACTGTAAAGTGTAAAGTACTTAAATAAGACAATGTTAGTAATATAGATAATAAATTACAGACAAGACTGTCAAACTTTGTAACTTTATATTTAGACACGTATCGTATCGACTACTATGATAAGATAAGTACCCCTAAAAAGTAGTAACAAACTGGTGACACTACGTGTTTTTTTGTTTGTTTTGTTTTTGACGAATGACAATTTTGAATCTCCAAATGGAAATTTTGTTGTTTTTGATCCTCATAGGGATTTCTCTCTTTGAGAGTGACCGCTGCCGCTTGCTTACTTTACATAAATCTAGAGTGACCAAAACGCTTTCCCGCTTTTAATACGACGAAAAGTTATTACATGTGAATAGTACTAGTGGTGGCAGTATAGGATTTGTTTGTTTGTAATTAAGCCCACCACGGGTATCGAAACCCAGTTTCTAGCGTTGTAAGTCCGCAGACATACCGCTGTGCCACTGGGGGGGGGGGGGCAGGCAGTATAGGAAGAAAGGAACGCCATATTCATGAGCATGGTTCTTCTTATTCTTACTTTGAGTATAAACTGAAACTTGTAATGTTTGTTTACGCTATCGAAATATTTGTTTATAGTGAAAAACTACTCAGCTGTGTCCAACGCGGGTATCGAACTTTGATTTCAAGTTAGCATCTAGGGTGACCAAACGCTCCCTCGGGTCCAGCGCCACTTGATAAACTATAAACAAATTCGGTAAACTTTGTACAGCAGGTCGACTTTCGAATAGATCACGATATTATGAAATTATCAGAGGATATTATCTCTATAAAACATTGACATAAGCCTTAAAATTTACTGGTATGTTCTGGCATCCATGAATGTGATTCGAGAAGGGTTGATATAATTTTCTTGCGTCTGAGTCTAGACAGGTAGACATAAGATGACACTGTAGTTGTTGAGAGTAGCAAGTCATGTTGAAACCAGTTTAATAACCTCTTAAAAGGTTAAACTTGAAAGAGAAGAATTTACCCAAAGGTAGAACTAAACCCAAAGAAAAACAAGCGAGTAATTCGCTGCGAAAATTTAATTTACATGATAATATTCTTTACGCAAGAGCTGCTTGATATCACATACTAATTACTTAAATCATATAATCTAGACCAGGGGTCACCAAACTACGGCCCGCGGGCAGTATCCGGCCCGCCGCTGCACTGTGCCACAAATGAGCTCAAATATAATTATTTATATGGAAATATCATAGATTGTAAATAAACTTACTATGTAGAAAAAAAATATAAGTGTAAGTAAAAATGTCCAAATTTGTTAGAAGCACACACAATACATGCACACGTCTTCTCTATCACAAAGCTGTGTAACCACGCGCACACTCGTCACACTACTTGTATCAACTGCCTGTAAGCATTGTATCGTCTTACAACAATGCGCACAGAGGCGACTGCAGGAATGAACTCTCATTGCAAGTACTTACACAAAAAGTGCTCTGATATCCAAAGTCGTCGAATTTTTTAATTTCACTGATTTCCCTAAAACTTATATTACTGTCAGATGCAAAAGTCGGATTGGCGTATATTTGTGTGTTGTACATATGTGTTTATATATTTATATTTAAATCTGGAACACTGGTTCAATACACGGATTAAACCCGAACAGGCGACTTTTTGCGACTGTGGATATCAGACCGCTTTTTGTTTAAGTACCTGCAATGAAGTTTTCAAGAAAAGTGATTACGAGCCTTGCTGCAGTGATCGTGTTTTAACTTGCATTGCCCTGTTGAAACCGGTTTGAAGAGTGCCGTATATAAAAGGGTCTGACTTCAGTGAATTATGTCA